CTTTAATCAGTTTGTTTCTTGAATTTTTTTCAAATGATTTGCGACCTTTCCAACTTCTAAAAATACCTTTAAAACTTTAGTGTGTTACTGAGACCATATGCTTTTTTTTATTTGTTCACTTCATTTGTAGGTATCGGTGAATCAGTAAACAATTCTTTGGAAGTTTTTGGTCTTTTTATATTAATTTAAATTTTGCATGTTGCAACCTTAATTAAATTACCTTGTATCAAACTCTCGTTTAAATATTTTGGAACATTACAATTCAGCACCTTCATCGTCTAAATAAAAATTAACAATATAAAATTTGTTATTACTTTGGAATTATTATTATAATTTAGTTTTAATAGGAACTTAATAATGAAATTAATATTTTTTTACCTTCATCTAGTTGCTTCATTAGGTTTTCCCTTCTCTTTGTAATACAACAGGTGTGGGCTAATCCTGGTCCAACAACATTTAAACATCTTTTACAAACTTTAATTGGTCCAGGAGAGGGTAAAACTTTCATGTTAAGTTTTGGTCTTCCTCTTTTTTCTATATTTGATTCATGTGTTAAATTACTACTTGCAGTAAGGCAAATATCACATTGGCAAAACTGTTGGTTTCTAGTAAGAATAGTTTCTTTGATCTTTGAGAAATCAAATGGTTTACATAAAACCATATTGGCGTTACCTTTTTCCATTTTTACTAAATTAGTTCGACATCTTCCACAAATTCCATTAGGAAAACGGTTATCATTTATATTGTCAAAGAAATATTTTTGAATTCTCAATAAAACTACACTTCCTTCTTGTATCTTACTTAAATTTTTTTCTTTTTTCAAAGCAAATTAGTTAAACATTATTCCTACTTTGACTGTGACTTATTTACCTTGAATACAGCATTTCAAAAGTGAAATAATAATTAATATTTAAATTTTCAAAGCACAACTAACGATATTACAAATGCAACAAAAACACAAATTACAATAATGCATAAAAATCAAAACTCATTAAAACTAAAAGTGGTCATTAGTTAACCAGTTTCAAAAAATTTTAGCAATAAAGAATGATTTTGAGATTTAAATTGACGTGACTTAAATTGAAACAGTTGTTTGTAAAAGTAAAACATAACAATTTATAAACTCGTTTTGGTAAAACATACAAAAGAATATTAAAAAATTCTATATATAATTTTTGAAATATATAAATTGTGAAAGTTTGTAAAATATGAAACAGTTATTATTAACTTGTTATAATAAATATTACTAAAAGCCTAAACAAAAAACTAAAATCCTCTTTTTATTTGTGTCCCAGTGATCGGACCAATCATATTAAAACTGTAAGAACACGCCCCTAACATAACGCCTTTTAAACTTTAATCAAAATTTATTGACAAATTTTAAATATCATTCCAAAAAAATATGTTGTTGAAAAGTTGTGACCTTTTAAAGTTATTTTTTGGAGTTAATTGGGAAATAAAAAACTAAAAACAATTATAACTTTTTAACGAGAAGAGATGTGTATGAAATTTTAAATCTTTCGATTAATTTTTACCTAGTTAAAGATATTATGAAAACATTTAAAATTCTGGACCAGATTGTTTAACCCACTTTTATTTTTTAAGATATCAACAGAATATTTTCAAAATCTAGATCATAACTGGTGTACTTTTTTTTTCGTCAGAAATATTTCTACTAGGGTGTGTTGGAAGTAACAAAGTAGTAAAAATTAAAAAAATTATAATTATATAATAAAAAATGATGAGAAAAATTAAATCATTACAAATATATCATAAATAACAATGAAATTAAAATCTCCTAAATGTTAAAAATGTTTATAGAAGGCATTGAAATATTAATGGATGAAAATGAATTCATTTTCATACAAGAAACTTGGCTGAATAAAACTAAAAAAAGCTAAAGATGTTTGCAGCGGAATACCAAAAAAAGCATATTTTTATCTTAACTTGTCTATAGAAGAAGACTACACTGTAGGAAGACCTCATGGCGGTACTGTGTGGATTATTGATTAAAAAACTAATAAAAAAAATTTACCAAACAAATAAGTACATGTAGATATAATAACGTTGTATTAATTGGAGTATACATGCCATGCAATGATGGAAAAGCTGAAACGTTCGGAGAAACAGAAAAAGAATTTGCACTTCTTACAGAAATTATTGAAAAATCAAACAACAATCGTAAAAAAAAATTTTTTGGCGATTTTATCATGGATTTATACAGAAGTAATAGGCATTGCAGTTTACTGAAAAAACTATTAAAAAAGCAAAATTTAATTGCCATTGACCACTTATATCTTCAAAAAACTGATTTTACCTACAAAGATTTAATAGGGCGATCATCATGGATTGATCATGCCTAAATAAATGTCCAAGCACAAGACATAATCATTCAATGTAAAATCCTTGAAAGCCAATTAAACAATAGTGACCACAATGCCATGCAAATAACCATTAAAAATCAAATAAAAAACAATCATCCTTCTAAAACGTTAATTCATAACAATACCCCAACAAAGAAAATAAATTGGAATAATGAAAACTTAAGATTAGTTTATAAAAAATTGGCAACGAATAAAATTAATGAAATTTATGTCTATACAGGATTACTTCCTCTAAATAAAGACCAAAAAGAAATTGAACTAGGTAAAATTATTGATGAGGTAGCTACCTTACTTGAGGAAGCAACTAGAGAATGTTTTCCTAATGATGTAAATTATAAAAACCAGCACACTAGACATAATAAAAAAAAAGGCTACTGGGATCAAGATATGCAAAATATTTATAATGAAAAAAGTTTTCATTACTTACAATATAAAAACAATAACTTTGATCCAACATTGCAAATTCAATACAAAAATGCAAAAAAAAGATTTCCAATATTCAACATACTAAATTGAAACTTTCCAAACGCAAGAAACTACACAAATTAACAATGCTATACCAATCGCAATGAATTCTGAAAAGAATTAAAAAAACACAAACGAACTGGTTTAAAAATATGTATTCCTATAAATGAATTAGAGCAACATTTTAAAAAGTTATTTAATAAAGAAGTTATGAAACCAACAGAAAATCAATGTACTCGTTCAGAAAAGTTGTGCGAACAAATTGAAAAAAGTAAAAATCTTAAATTGAAAGACTGGTTAAAGGTTTAAAAAATAACAAAGCTATCCGTCAGGCAGGTATGAGTAACGAAATTCTAAAACACTGCCTTTGTCCAAAATTAGTTCAAAAAATAAAATAAATTATGGGAGCAATAATTAATGATAGAGCTATGCCGAATAACTTCAATATTGGGAAACTAATTCAAATTAATAAAAATGATACAGGTAATATGCAGGATGTTTCTAATGCATGTTCGTTAACAATTTCTGACAGCCTAGCCAATCTTTTTAAGTACATTAATAGCCTAGCCAATCTTTTTAAGTACATAATGGAACATATAGAAACAAGTCATGCAGTCCCGTCATCTGAATTCATTTGTGTTTGTATGTATTGGTAGTAACAAATCTAACATCTTTGTAACAAATGTTGGCGTTAAACAAGGTGGACCACTCTCGCCTCTTCTTTTTTCGATATATACCAAAGGACTTATTAAACAAGTGGAAAATGCATCACTTGGTGTTTGTATTAACAACTTAATATAAATAAAAATATAATGTTTTGTAACACCACAATTAAACTGGTAATCTCAATTGAATATCTTGGAATGATCTTTCGAAATGACCTTAGAAGTAGTAACCATTGTGAACGAAAACAAAAAAATTTCTATATGCAACTTATGCAGCACGAAACTGGGGTTTGGAAACATTTACTGATCCATCACATCTATTTAACACATCTATTTAAATGTTTTTGTAGAACAATATTGTATTATGGCACTGACGTTTGTCAGCTAAACAAGAGTGAAATTCAACAATTTCAAACACTTGAATCATATTTGATTCAAGTGTTTGAAATCGTTGAATTTGACTCTTGTTTAGCTGACAAACGTCAGTGCCATAATACAATATTGTTAAAAAGGTATTATGGGTATCTGTAGAAAAAACAGAAGTAGGCATTTTTTGGATGTACTAAAAATAGAACCCCCAGGATTAAAAATTGATATTGCCAAGTGTTTCTTTTTTGAACGAATAATGAAGAACATAGTCACAAGTGAAACAATACTTGATATGATAACCTTATAACACAATTGATGCATATAAAAAAAAAGATATCATAGTATCATGAATGCTCAATGCAAATCAATCGAACTCTGTTATGACCCTTACAAATCAGTAATGAGAAAAATTATTTTTTCTGCATTCTTTAAAGGATTGATTGACCTTAAGAAAAGCTTAACAATCAAACGCATAAAAAATCAATTTATTTATGCAATTTTGATACAACTACTGTAAATTATTCATCACCCATGGTGGCGTTATATTCTGAAATAATAATAATTATTATATATATATATATATATATATATATATATATATATATATATATATATATATATATATATATATATATATATATATATATATATATATATATATATATATATATATATATATATATATATATATATGCATACATACATACATACATACATACATACATACATACATACATACATACATACATACATACATACATACATACATACATACATATATGTGTGTGTGTTTGTGTGTATATGCATTAAAAAGTACAAAATGATTAAATTTTATTTCATATTAAGTGTCCAATTAAAGTTCATTGATATTTTATAATTTATGAATAAATCATATAATTATTGAATTCTAAATAATATAGCTTATTTAGCATAATTTATTATTAATTTTACCTACAGCTAGCTGTTCTTCTTCAATTTCAAAAATTTCTAAACAGTGCATATTTTTTTTATAATTGTCAAAGCAAATGTAACATTTTTTATGATAAAATTCTTTGCTGTTCGTTTTATTATGGTTTTTTTTTTAATAAAATTCTTAAATTTCAATCTAAATTTATAGGTGTTCCTATGCCTCCTACTAATAGACTTACTATGAAAGAAGTCTTTGATGCTGACGGAAAACCAAGAATTGATGTGCTAAAAGCTCATTTTATACTTGAGGGTAAAGTTGAAGAAGAAGTAGCTCTTAAAATTATACATAATGGGGAAAATATACTTCGTCAGGAAAAAACAGTACTTGATATAGATGCTCCAATTACAGGTAGTTTTTTGATTGTGTTAAAAAATATTTTTATTTTATTGTTTTTTTATTCATAGTTTTTACAGTCTTCTAGTCAACTAGTCAGCGTAATTAAAAGGATTTTTTAAAATTATAGCGTCTGCATGATTTTTTGCTGACTACGACATATTTCCGTTAAATGATCAGGTCTTTGAATTATAAAAAGACAACAAATTTTAAATGATTAATTTTGCCGTAATATAAAATAAAAATAATTGTAGCGAAAAACCCAGACAGAAGATTTTTTTTTTTTAAATCTCACTAAAATCACAATTGCTTGTCCAAATTTGAATAAGATATTGAATAAATACAATTTTTAGGTGAAATGAACATCATAATTTAATATGATCTCTTTTGATTGTTTATTGGCAGTTTTTCTTATTTATAACACTTTCTTGGTTTTTCTGCAAATTCTAATATTTTTAGTAAAAATTGATAGAAATGTTGTGTTTTGACAATTACATTCAATTAATATGTACTAGAACAGATTTGGGCTAGGATCTATAGTAGAATTATGGCACTTTTTCAAAAATATTTAATTAAAATTGAAGTTAACACTGTTGAGCAGAATTGTTCTAAATACTAAAAAATGGTGTTCTTTAGATTCACAATGAAGGGTAACGAAAAAGTTTTAAAAATTTTATAAAAAAGAGAAAAGTTTCTTTAAACATAAAAACTTGAAGCAAAAAAGATTTATAGCATCTAAAGCTCTTGTTTAGACATAATACGCTGACAAAATCATGCTAATTCCAAGTAAAGAAATTGAATAATTTACAAATCACCTTGACAACACTATGTAGGTAATTAGGTGCATTTTTTTTTTTTTTTTTTTTTGTCATTGTCAAAAACTTTCTTAAACACTAAAAAAGCTTTTAATTTTTTGCAGTCTTGTTAAAAATAAATTTTCTTTAAAAAAATGTTGTTAAGAATGTTTGTTCTTATTTTTTGCATGGTGTGTATCTAATTCTGCAGAAAAAGAGATTCAAATATTTTCAAATAATAAAATAGGCCAAAAAGAGTTGTTTCAACCAATTCAAACATAATCAGATTTCTTTAAGAAATAAAAAACAAAATGGAAAAGGTTTTTTGAAAAAAATTATGTGTAGTTTAATGAAGATTTATATATTAAACTGATTTCTCTTTGGCCATTATGACATAAAAATTGATGTAAAATGATCTAATTATTATCATAAAGGTATAAAAAAAAACTTTTGTGCAAAAATCTAATTGCAAAAATTTTATTTGAAATACCTACCAGACAGGGGGGTGGCATTAGTAAAAAACAGTATTTTGTGTTTTTTATTTTGCAATTGCTATTTTTATCATCATATCTCAGTAAAAAAAAAAAAACTGAGTAAACTCCAAAAAATTCTAAACTTATTAGGTTCCACATTCTTTCTATTGCTTCTTGATCTAGCGACAAGGATGCCAGAAGTTTTATAGGACAACAAGTGCAATTTGTTATAAAAGGACAAAAACAAAAATTAATGATAAAATTATTCAAATATAAATTCAGTTTTGGAAAATGCAAGTTATTGGACATCAATGTAACACTAAAATTACTCGATAAGACTTTTTTTTTTTTTTTTTTTTTTAAAATAAATTATCAATTCTTATCTTTGTTTATTCTGTTGCTACACATTTTTACATTCAAATTGTACCACAAAATGCAATAAAAATATCTCTATACTAACTGTATAAATTGAAAAATGTATAAGTCAATAAACAAGAAACTATTGCTTTTTGTACTACTTTATATTATTGTCAAGCTTGTCTGTTACTCTATACTTTAGTTATTTTTTTAATATATTAATAAAAATGGGTGGATCATATATGGTTAGAAAAAATTTGAAAAAGGCTTTACCATAATAAAAAATCAATGTTTCATGGACACAACGATAAAAAGATTTACATTTAATGTAAAAAAACCACTTTCATACCATCTAACTAAAGCTCAGTTAAAATTTTACTTAAAAACATAGTTATGTTTCTTAAATGTCCAGAATGTGAAGATTTTTTAAATTTTCTTAATAAAAAAAAATTTTCTTAATAAAAAAAAAATCGTTGCAATCGTTGTAAATGAGAAACAATTTTTTTATTTATTTATTTTTTTATTCATCTCCCCAAGGCCCGAGGGCAAGGCAAGACAAGGCCCGAGGGCAAGACAAGCAAGACTGTTGAGCGCGGTACTTCCAGGGACGTGGTGGGAGTCGAACTCCGAATCTCTCGCTTACAAAGCAAGCGCTCTTACTACTACTTACTACACCACTACCGCATCTACTTTTGCTCAAATGAACTCTAATGCAAAACAAAATGATTTAGTTAAACATAATTGTGTTTGGCATAAACCAATTGAGGTAAACCCTCATGTTGTTGTGTTTTGTGTGGAAAAGGATTTGCTGGGGAAAGGATTGCCATCAGTTTTTTTTATAACATCACTTTCAACAAGTCTGTAAGCAACCGCTATTCAAGTTGAAAGTTGCTGGAAGAAAAAAGATAAAGTTTATAGAGCAAGATAATAATCGACAGATGACTTGAAAGGTAGCAAATTATATGAATAAAGAAAATAGGATGAAGGCAATGAATTCCAAAGAACTCATGTTTGAGAATAAAAACTAGATGAATAAGAATTTTTGAAGCACTTGGGAACAGTCACAGTAAAAGGATGAAACTTAATTGAATGAGTAACACAATAATGAATTTTAGTAGATGGAACAAGACGCTAACTCTTTAGAGCAGTGCCCATTATAGTATTTATAGAAAAGAGAAACAGAAACAACAATACGACAATGTAATAATTATTGGAGGTTGGCCTCAAGAGCAGGTCCAACTAGGGCTTCTAATTATCCAACATTAATCACTATCTGGATATCGAATAATGAAATTTCAAAATATTCGGATATATCCGGATAACAAAAAAGAAAATAAAGATGATAAATTGAACTTAATACTTTCATGGTATTTTTAACCCAATGAATAATTTTAACTTTAGTACTTTAGTTACATACATTGAAAAATCAAATATAAAAAAAATAAAATAATTATACTATTTCATTTTTGAAAATGCATATTTCAAAAAAAAATAATTGCATTAAAAGTTTCAAAATTTAAGCGAGTTTAAATTTTTGTGCCTGCGATTGAAAAAATAAGCTTTGTTGCAGTAGATGGTTATTGTTAGAAGTGTGTTAAACAATATATTTAAGTTATTTGTTCTTGTTTTAGTGGTTGTTGAAAACATAAAATCATTTTTCAACAATGTAGTAATTATGCTGCTCTGTTTTTCTGCATGGAAAATTGAGGAAATTGCTACTTTCAGCTTTTACTGCAAAATTTTATTAGCATTTTGACTTTAAAGCATACTTTCATTTGCTATTTTTTTTGCAACTTTCTCGACTTTATTGTGCTCAGTACTTCTACTATCACCAATAGATGTATAAATCCTTTTAAATATTTCTACTGCTAAAGCGATGGATGTAGATTTTGAAGTAAATCCCCAAAAATTTTGTTTACATTAACTGCAATGTCACGCCTGCTTGTTCATTAACATATCCTAGTAAAAAGTTGTTTTAACTGAAGATAATTTTATCATTTTTATTAATCTTCTGAGATGTTTTATAACTTCTTGAAAATCTTCAGTGAGATTTATGATTTCAATGTCTTCCTCTAGCTCACAGATTATGTTAGCATCTTCAAAACTATTTGTATTCAGCTCATCATTAATGCTTTTGCAGATTTACCTTCACTATCTTCGCTAACATCTACTTAATCTGTTAATTCTTCATTTTCTTTACAAAATTTTGATTGTTATTTTTAAAAAGTACATCAGTTATTGCTAAATGCATTTTGTGGTTATAACAAAGTTGAGATATGATGCCTAATAGCCTTCCATACTTGACGATAACAGCTGATCCATAATGTGTTGATGATATTATATCTGACTTAACATTAATTTCAAATTCTTTTAACTTATTTTCAATATGTAGTTTTGTTTGTTGTATTTATTGTTTGTTATATTTTGTTTGTTGTATTACATGTATTTTTTATGTTAAATAAACTCAATACATACACTTCAAATTTCTTCATGAAATTATCAACAAGTTCATGAAGTGTAACATTAAGATATCTATTCATAGAGTTATCAGTCCACTCGTCTACTGTTAGCGAGAATTGAACATTTTTTAACAATTTTTCCTTTTATTCCTTGTCAATGGTTCACTTTGTTCACAACTTATCTTAAATGAATTTTTAGTTTTTAGTATATAGGTTAGAGGAATTTAAGCAAATCTTATGAATTTTTAAATTTTTTTTTTTTTTTTTTTTTATTTGCATTCACTCCCAACAAGGCTGCAAGCAACCACTATTAAGTTGGGAGTTACTAAGAAAAAAAAAAAAGAACAGAGTTATAGAGCAAGGAAACGGTTGACAGAAGACTTGAAAAGTTGAAGGTTGTATCAGTCAGGAAAACATGAAGATGGGAGAGAGTTCCAAAGGATTAAAGTGCGGGGAAAAAAACTAGATGAATAAAAGTTTTTAGAGCATGCAGGGACAGATACAGTAAACGAATGAGACTTAGCTGAATGACGAGTAAAACGAGAATGAATTTTAGTTGATGGAACTAGAGATGATAACTCCTTTGAGCAGTGACCATGATAGTATCTGTAGAAAAGAGAAAGAGATGCAACTTTACGACGATGGGAAAGAGGTTCAAGCTTAGCAGATAGTCCAGGTCCAACAACATTTACAATGCGTTTTTGGACCTTGTCAAGAAGAGAAAGTGAATCGTTAAAAGAACCAGCCCAAATATGACAATAGTATTCCATACAGGGACGAATAAGAGATTTGTAGAGGTAGAGAATGGAATCAGAAGTAAGGAAATGGCGAGCACGATTAAGAGAAGCAACCTTTGCAGAAGCTAATTTAGCAATCCATTGTATATATGGTTTCCATGAAAGATCAGTAGTAAGCAATAATCCAAGAAGACG